CGATCCCCGCATCCCACCTCACTAGAGTCATTTATGAACCCAAGAAAGCAAGGGGAAGCTCAGAGAATTTACTCATTTTGTTGGACCCACTGAACCACCAGCCGGTAGTGTGGGGCAGTGGAAATAGGGACCAAGCCAGGCTAAGTAAGGACACTCACAGAAGCCATTCCAACTCACCACCATCAGCTAGATTAGTGAGAAACGCAGACAGATCCCACTTTTCATCAATTCCCATCTGCTGCTGTGTTTATTCTTTGCTACCTAATAAGCAATTCGATTTCCCATCTAATAGGTACTGCCCACCAATTCAAAGGTTTCTACCAATGTACGGATGGAAACAACAGCACAAGCACTCGCCAAATATGTAAAAATATAGTTAAGATTTTACCTGAAAACAATATACTTTCTAAGTTGTTTACAAGGAGCACATTTTGGCTAAAAGTAGATCACAATACCTTATTGTACCTCCGGTAGAGGGTAGTAGCAAGAACTCTTAAGACCATCGAGCCGGTTTGGAATCCAGATCTAGAACTTACTGGCTATGTAATATTAGGTAAGGTACAGGAGTTGAACTACTCTACACCTCAGTTTCTTCGTCAATAAAGTGGAGATAATACTATGTAAAAGGATTCATAAGGATTAAAGGAAAAATGTATAGGAGGAGCAGAAAGAAACAAATACTAGCACACAATAGGCATTTAATAGCCATTAATGCTACTAATGTACTAACATACTATTGTTAAGTATAGGAAAAGCTTTGAAAAGTATCAAGCTCTAGACAAATGTAAGATACGGTTAATGGCCCTATGCTTGGGTTTGGCATGTGGGAAATGTGAGCGGCTGCAGTTCTGAATTTAGAACAAAAAAACCCATAAGTGATAACATAGGAATAGGTAAAGAGAACAGTGAAACAGAACAGAGAGTCCAGAAACAGATCCACATATATATGGTCAATTGTTTTCCAAATTAAGGTGCCAAGTTAATCCAATGGGGAAAGGAAAGTCTTTTTAAATAAATGTTGTTGGAACAGTTGAATATTGGCAAAAATTCAATGTCTATTTCATTTCATACACAAAAATTAATTTGCAAGCCATCATAGGCCTAAACATAAAGCTTAGAATCATAAAGCATCTAGAAGAAAACATAGGCTATCTTTACAACTTTGAGACGGACAAAGATTTCTTAGGGTGAATACAAAAAACACTAACCATAAAAAAATGATGAATCAGACTGCTACACTGAAGTTAACATTTTCTGCAGCATTAAGAAAATTAACAGGGACTTCCCTGACGGTCCAGTGGTTAAGAACCGGTGCTTCCACTGCAGGGGGACCCAGGTTCAATACCTGGTTGGGGAATTAAGATACTGCATGCCGTGTGGTGCCACCAAAAACAAAACAAAACAAAACAAAACAGAAGAAGATTAACAGACAAGCCACAGAAATGCAAAAGTAATTGCATAAATTTAGCTGATAAAAGACATAGCTACAATATATAATCACGCCTACAAATTATCAATGAAAAGGCAACTATCCACTTTAAAAGGGGGCAAAAGATTTGAAAAGACACTTTACAAAATAAAAAATACAATTGCCCAATAAAAACACGCAAAAATGCACAACAGGGAAATGCAAGTTAAAACCACAATGAGATACCATTTAACACCCAATAAAATGCTAAAACAAAAAAGACTGGTAATATGTATCATTGAGGATATAGAATACTTGAAACTCTCATGCCTTGCTGGTGGGAATGTAAAATGTTGCAATTACTTTGAAAGACTGGAAGTTTCTTGTGATATAATTTATATCTACCCTATGAACCAGCAATTCACTCTTAGGTATTTCCTGATGGAAATGAAGACATATGTCCACATTTTGTGAGCCTTCCTGATAAGAGGCATGTCCATCAACCCAAATGTTCATCAACAGGAGAATGGATACATTTTGATATAGTCATACAATAGAATACTACCTACTCACAAAAGAACAAACTACTAATACACACACCATGTGGATGACTCTCAAAAACATCATAATAAGGGAAAGAAGCCAGATACAAGAGTCTACGTGCCATCTGATTCCATTTCTATAAAATCCAAGAGGAGGCAAAACCAACGTAGGATGACAGAAATCACAAAGTGGTTGTTTAGTTGAGGATGGGGGCCTGAGGAAAGACTGAAAAGGGGCACGAGGGAAATTTCTGGAATAATGGACGTGTTCTATATCTTGTTTTGAGTGGTGGTCACATGACATGAGCATACACAATTGCTAAGCTCATCAAATTGAGCACTGAAGATTTGTATCTGTTAATATGTGTTAATTACATCTCAATTACACGTAAGCGCGCGCACACACACAAGGCCAAGTGACTCAGTCCCTGACCTAGCAAAGTCTGCAGCTGTGTTGAAGACAAATGGCATCGTCCTCATTTAGATTATCAGAGAAATCAAACTACATTTATAAGGTATTTGTAGAGTTTTTAGTTCATTCAAACAGCATGTTACATGACACACAATGAAATGTTTTTCATGAAGCCAGTAAACTGCGTGGTCTGGATGAGGCTTTTAAGGCATAAAGAAGCTATTTTGGCCTTCCTTCCCCACTATTTCTAGTGCTTGGCTAAAAAGGAGTTGGCAGGTGCCTGTGAAGGGAGCCATTCTCTTCTGGCAAAAGAGCCCTAGGTTATTAAATTCTTCCTCCTCCCGCCTGGTTCACCTCCACTGTTTATTGTTTTGTCTTGTTTATCTGCGGCTGCCAGCCCAAGGCAGGCCCTTGTCCTTTGTGTACTCCCCACAGGCATTAGGCCTCACTCAACACTCGATAATGTTTTCCTTACTGATCCCAGAGCGGTCACAATATGTCTTAAAAAAAAAAAAAAACAGCAAGGCTCCCACTCTTGACCAAAAATCCAAATTATTTTTCCCTTCTCGGTTTTACTCTTGTGTCAGCTTCCTGTATTTGGATCCTAGGGCAATCCTGCTTTTTAATGTGTAATGTTCTAATGGATAGTAACATTGACCGAAACTTTAAAACCACTCAACAGAAACCATTCCTGGCTCCCTGGGTCAGTGGATGAAGGGAAGTGTCCTGACACCGTTCAAAAAAACTCTGTGGGGTGTTGAGAGGGAGAAGCCAAGAACAAGCCCTTTATTTGGGGGGCATTGTTTCTATTTCTAAACCGTTCTATCGCGTGTCCTCTTTTCACTCACAAATGAAATATTGTTCCCTTTCTCTCTGCCAACAGACCCAAAGGGGAGAGGAGAGGGAGAGTTTAAGAAATGGAGCAGGGAAAAGGTATACTAAATGGGTCTTTTTATGAGTAAAATACATAGAAACAAGAGAGGGAAAAAGACCTGTTTGGTTACATTGTTCCTCCCTCATTTAGGGCAGATTAAATCACATGCAGCAGATGGAGACAGTTTGCAAGGGAAGGGAATTTAGAGCTCCCCATCTAAAAACACTTACTACATGTGATTAAAGGTAGAGACAACCTAATTGATAAACCCCTGGAAAGGCCATTTGTACAGATGCTGTTGCCTTTCCACCCCTGATTCCTTCAAACCAATGGAGCCTTCCCACTTGGAGATGACATTCGCTCTGGCCTTCCATATCGCAGTCTTTTAGACATGGACTCCTTCGCGGTTTTTAGCCATCTGACTTCCAAGATGTCCGCATCAGATCCATGTTTCAGAATTCCAGATCAAGGATCACCTCCTTCAAGAATTCCTTGAGCACCTCTTTTGTCTCCATCCCTTGGAAGTTCCCTTGCTTTCCTATATCATTGTGTCTGTGCTCTCCTCCCTTATAGCACTTAGAATTTTCAACCTTATCAATCTCCTTTTCTTCTTATAACTCTCAGCTGAAGGACTGACTTTTTCTTTTTTTAATTAGTTTTTATTGGAGTATGGTTGATTTACAATGTTGTGTTAGTTTCTGCTGTACAGCAAACTGAATAGGTTATACATATGCATATATCCACTCTTTTTTAGATTCTTTTCCCATATAGGTCATTACAGAGTATTGCGCAGAGTTCCCTGTGCTACATAGTAGGTTCCTATTAGTTGTCTTTTATATATAGTAGTGTGTATATGTCAATCCCAATCTCCCAATTTATCCCTCCTGCTGCCCCAAGGACTTCTTAGTGAAGCACTTATCATCTCCTCTAGGCAGACTGCCTCATGATTTCATCACACTCTGTGGGTACTTCCATAAAGCAATTATTTCTTGTATTGTAAATCTTTATTAGCTCCTCTGCCTCTGGGCTCCAAGAGGACCAGAACGATGTCTCTACCTCTTTGTATACCCAATATGATCCCTTACACAAAGTATACAACAATATCATGCACAAACGTGTTTATTAAATGTAGCTATTTGGAGGTCACTATGGACCTTCTGTTTTGCTTTGTTTTTTTATTAAAGTAGAGACGTCAGAATCAATAGTGCAATGAGTATAAAAGTAGCAGGTGTAAAGAAAGCAGCAGTTCTAGGTGTGGACAACTCAAGGAATTTGACTGTAAAACAAGACATCAAGATAGGAGAGTAATTGGAGGTGGAAAAAAGAATCGTGATAAAAGTAAAGGCTTGAGGGATTTTTGAGAACAGAGCATGTGTATAGGCAATGAAGGGGGACCAGTGGAGAGAGAGAGAAATTGAAAATAAAACAGGTAAGTCACAATGAAGAGATCAAAGTCTTAAGGGAGACAGGAGAGCTGGGATTAAGAGGGAGACAGAGTAAATTTTGGAAAAGAATAAGATGCCGCTTATTCTGAGACAATAGAATGAAGGCAAAGATGAAGAAATGAAAAGGAAGAAGGAAGAGAATATTAGATGAAAACCCAACTAAGTGGAACTAAGTAAGTTAGAGCTTCATCTTGATATACCTTCTTAGTGAGTAGCTTCTGCTAGAAGTAGAAAGTCAAGGGAAGTCCTAGAGGCTTGAGGAGCGAGGAGGTGGGAGGGGCTAGAGGGGAGGAAGAGAATTGCACAGTAGCCAAGTTACCTTGTGAAGGTCTTCCCGTGCCCCTTCTCAGCTCTCCTCCTCCACGACACGCTCCCCCCAGTCCGTATTAACCATGCAAACACAAATAAAGAGCTACATCAGCAAAACAGACAAATTTCAGAACTGGCACCAACAGCTTCAGGTAGAACCAGTAATTTTTTTTAAAGTCACCATGAGATTCCATTTATTAAGTTGGATTTCCTAAGATATAAGCAGCTCTCAAGGACAAACTATTAAGAGTTATACTTCCAAATCAGTAACCTGTTGACTTAAAATTCATTGAGGAAAATCTCTTCAGCCCTTCTGATATACTGGGTCCTGTGCCAGGCCCAGGGTAGAAGGGGTCTCCTGACCTCAAGAAGTACATCGACAAGCAGTGGCGAGGAGGAAGATGCCTTCCCATTCATTCAGCAAAGTCTGTGGGCTACTGTGTGCCCAGAATCTTGCACCTGATGCTGTAGACAAAGAGTATAAGCTCTCGCTATGAGTATATACCGTCTCTTAGAAGAGACATATATTAAGCAAATACCAATCAACTATTTAAGTATAAATTTCATAAGTGCAACATAAATGCTTCATAAATGCATAAAGAAAAAGTTTAAGTGCTAAGAGAGCATGTAACAGACCTAGCCAGGGGGTTGGAGAAATTCTTTCTCAGGAATGAAAGGATATAAAAGAATTATTTAAACCAGGAGGTGGGAGTGCCTTCCAGGCAAAGAAAAGTGCCTGCTGAAGTCTCAGAAGCAGTAAAGAATGGGGCATTTGAGAACAGGAGAGGGTGCCAGGGTGGCTGGCACACCTACAACAAGGGGGATGACACAGCAGGGTGAGGGACGAGGATGGAGAGCAAGGCAGGATTGATCTTACGGAGAGCTCTGTAAGTCATGTTGAAGAGTTTGGGTTTTCTCCTAGGAGCAGTAAAAAGCCACTGATTTTTTTTTTTTTTTTTTTTCCTGCGGGACGCGGGCCTCCCACTGTTGTGGCCTCTCCCGTTGCGGAGCACAGGCTTCGGACGCACAGGCCCAGCGGCCATGGCTCACGGGCCCAGCCGCTCCGTGGTATGTGGGATCTTCCCGGACGGGGTCACGAACCCGCGTACCCTGCATCGGCAGGTGGACTCTCAACCACTGCGCCACCAGGGAAGCCCTTAAATTACACTTTTTTTAAATTAAAGTTGATTTACAATGTTGTATTAGTTTCAGGTGTACAGCACAATGATTCAGTTATACATATATATACACATATATCTATTCTTTTTTCAGATTCTTTTCCCTTATAGGCTATTACAAAATCTTGAGTACAGTTCCCTGTGCTATACAGTATGTCCTTGTTGGTTATCTTGTTTATATATAGCAGTGGGCATTTGTTAATCCCATCCTCCTAATTTAAAAGGTAACTCTGCCTGCAGAGTGGAAGACGGATTAGAGAGGGTGTCAAGATTGGACGCTGGGAGACCAATTAGGAAGATATTGTAGAAGTTCCGCATGAGTGCTGAGTGTGGCCTGGACTAGGATATGGCGATGGAGGTGAAGAGAAGCAGGTGGATTTGGGAGAAGTTCAGCAGGGAGAACTGACAGGACCAGATAATGGATGGGCGTCTGGGAGAGGAGGAAGCAGCAGGGTCACCTATGAGCAAGCGAGTGGACAAGATGCCATCGGCTAAGACAGAGGCATGGAAAGAGGACCTCCTACTCCAGCCATGCATTGGAAAAGCATGAATCCGGAAAACTCACAGCAGTTCCCCAGTCCAGCCATGCACAGGCTGGGGAGAACACCTGCTCCTCAGGTACCAACGCTGACAATAGCGTGGTTCATGCTAAATAAAAGATGAAGCGGCTTGCCCCCCACTGCTGCGCTCACGTGCTGTCTGACAGGGTGTTAGGCTTTCTTTCCTTCCGTCTTTCGTTGGCTGCTATCTCAGTCTGACAACAGGAACAAACGGAACTCTGATTTGATTTTTTGGTTTTTTTTTTTGAGCTCCAACAGCCTTTTTACATAATCTTCAGCAATAACTGGGCTTTATGTGTCCGGGCACAGGCTGTGCTCTGCACTCAGAGACACTTATCTTCCATGCTTAGATGAAACGATAAGCATCCAGTCTATAGATAAAGCATTAGGCAGCTAATATAGCATTAGGCGACGTGTTTTCCATTCTACTTTTCTGTTCAACCATTAAAAGTGCCGGGGTGTGGGGGTTTGCCTGGACTATTTTAACCCCACTTCACCTACTGTAGCTGTTTACTCTTGGCAATGGGTTTGACACCTAACGCAGCATGGAACAGGCACACAGCCAGCTCCTGTTCTCTTTTCTTTAAAAGGAAAAAGGCAGGGATTCAAAATTCAAAAGAAGGAGCAGCTCAGATTCTAGTCCTAAGGAGGAAGTCTTCCTGCTTCATGAAATCAGGGCCTCTTCAGCAGGCCCCACCGCCTCGACCTCGTGCCTGGACCACAAGCAGTTAGTGCTGTGTCCTCAGGGTGCCCCCAACCAACACTTGGCCATAGAATTCCAAGGGGAGATTCAGTGAAAATAGTCTGATGGCCCATGGTCTAGTCCTCGTTCTGGTATTAATTAGCCAAGTGACCTTGAACAAGTTACTGGGTCACAGTTGTGTCATCTTGGAAAACAGGGTGAAGTGAAGTGGAATATCTCATCTCCAAGCCCTTAAAGCCTTACTTGCCTTGGCAGAATCAAAATTACGTCCAGATCAATGCTGCTTTGTTTTTTAAACAGGCAAAAATCTTTTTTTTTAAATTGAAGTATAGTTGATATACAGTACTATAAAAGTTACAGGTGTACAACATAGTGATTCACAATTTTTTTTAATTAATTTTATTTATTTTTATGTTTATTTTTGGCTGTGTTGGGTCTTCGTTTCTGTGCGAGGGCTTTCTCTAGTTGCGGCGAGCAGGGGCCACTCTTCATCGCGGTGCGCGGGCCTCTCACTATCGCTGCCTCTCTTGTTGCGGAGCACAGGCTCCAGCTGCGCAGGCTCAGTAGTTGTGGCTCACGGGCCCAGTTGCTCCGCAGCATGTGGGATCTTCCCAGACCAGGGCTAGAACCCATGTCCCCTGCATTGGCAGGCAGATTCTTAACCACTGCGCCACCAGGGAAGCCCGTGATTCACAATTTTTAAAGGTTATACTCCATTTACAGTTATTATATAATATTGGCTACATTCCCTGTGTTGGACAGTATATCCCTGTAGCTTATCGATTTTATACATAATAGTTTGTCCCTCTAAATCGCCTACCCCTATATTGCCCCACCCCGCTTCCTTCTCCCGGCTAGTAGCCACTAGTTTGTTCTCTATCAATGTTGCTTTTGAGGGTTTCTTTTTTCTTTTTTTTAAAAAATGTATTTATGTATGTATGTATGTATTTATTTATTTTTGCTATGTTGGGTCTTCTTTGCTGCACGTGGGCTTTCTCTAGTTGTGGCGAGCTGGGGCTACTCTTCGTTGCGGTGCGTGGGCTTCTCCTTGCGGTGAGAGAATGTTTCGGGAACAAATAGCCCCATAGAGAGAGGAGGAGGCTCTCTTTGTCTCATAAAAAGCAAGATTAGGCCTTAATGAAAACTGAAATCTCACTAAGAAGAGGAGAATTCTTTATTTTCAGGTAGGGACTAAGGACCTGGATCAGCAAGTGACAACTCTGCAGAATAGGAACCGGTGTCTTGTGTAGAGTGAGGCTTCTCTAACTGGGTTCTAATGCAGCACTATGTCGGAATTATGTAAAATCACAGGATCTTTATGAACATCAAAATAAAAATACATACTTCATGAAGTAGAAGGCAAAATTATTATCACTTGGAAAAATAAGAAATGAGGCTTACAGGTTTTGGGCACAGTGAAAGGAAACAGCAGTGGGTTAGGACCAGAAACCAGGAGGCCACTCCAGCAAGCTGGCTATTTGAGTTTGGAAAAGTCACTTCTCTCTGGTCTCAGTTTTCCCACTTATGAGACGGAGATTGGACTAGATGGTCTCTAATACCTCTTCCAGTCTTAAAACACTCTGATGATGATTCCACCGGGAAAGGGCGAAAACAGCTCGTATAGTTGTAGCGTCTGATAAATTTTATCATTGCTCTGACCTGCTTTGACTTGAATTAAATTCAGGGGAAGGTAGGAAATCTCTAAGATCAGATATTCTAAGACATTGCATTTTCCATTCCTCCTTCTTACTCTCCTTCCCTCCCCTGTCTTCCTTGATGGATAGGTAGGTAGGTAGATAGATAGACAGACAGGTAGGTGGATGGATAGATAGATAAACAGATAGATGTATATACGTATATATATGTGTGTTTCATATATATATGAAAGGCTTCCAGAAAAATGCCAGCAATGAATCCAGCTAACTCCTGCGGCTACTAGTGTCTTAATTTTCTTTTCCCCCGACGCCAGCGTAGTTCTTGGAAAAGCAGTCTGCCTTCCTTATCTCTCCCTCCACACCATGCATTTGCACTTTAATTGCTTCCCATGTGTCTTGCACCCTCACAGCTCTACGAAAGGCCACTCCCTCTTCTAAAGGCAGCCTGTCCAATCCTGTGGCTCTGAGCCCACCCTCCTTCTCCTCCTACCTCCCTCAAGGCCCCTCTTCCATACGGAGCCTGGTACAAATAGGCACCGCATACATATTTGTTGAATTGAATTTCTGAATGTCCAAGTATTACTTTATACTTAATGTTACTAAAAGGAACCCTACTCCTCTTCCTAAAAAGCCTTCTCTGCAGGAGAGATAACCCCATTTTGGCCAAATTGAACTTAGGATAAAGCAAAAATGGCGAAAACATAACAGAACTACTCCCTCCCCTACCAAAGAAAAACCTTCTAAGGATGGTAAACTTTCACGAATTCAACGAATAGCTTCTCTGTATCCCAGTATCTGTCTCTGATTGTCAGATCCGAACTGTGCTTCAAGACCCATCTCAAATACCTGCTCTTACATAAAGCTTTTCATGACCCACTGCTATCGAAAATATTTCCTCCATCCACTCTATCCTAAGAGCTCTGTGTTGTTATGACTTTTTTGATATTGATCTCCTCATATAGTATTATAGATAGTAATAATCCTACTAAAAATAAGCTTCTAGAAAGGCAGGGTCTCTTTATTTTCTTTTCTATATGCACCAAGGTATATAATAGTTACCTATTAAATATTTGTTGAACGGAAGATGATCATAGTGCCCACAGAATGTTTCAGTGCCAGACCCTTTGCAAATATGTGTTATAATCACTGTTTCCCTAGACAAATCTCATCTCTACTATCGCAACAAGTTTAGCCTAAGACGTATTTCTGAGTAATCTGATTTTGGGGAGTACTGAGAGAAATTACAGAACTGCCATGAAGTGCTGGTGCCCAACTAGAGAGTTTACTGGTCCTAAAACATTCATCCAGTCATTCAACAAATATTTAATGAGCACCTACTACGTACCAAGCACTGTTCTAAGCACTGGAGATACAGCAGTGAATAAAATGAAGGAGAGGGCTTCCCTGGTGGCGCAGTGGTTGAGAGTCCGCCTGC